ACTCGGTTTGGTTGCAGGCTTTTTGGCTAATTGAACCGATTGATCGGGTTGGGGAATTGGCCACCCAAAACCAATCAACCAACCATTAGTGAAAATCGGCCAACTCGGATTGTATCAATTTGGGCCGGTTTCAGTTTGGTCGGTCAGTTCAAAAGACAGCCTAGAACTAATTTGTTAAACCCAGGAACATGGTTTGATTGGATAAAAAAATTTAAGATAACAAAATTAATTAATAATTGTAGTGATATTATTAAAAATTAAATTTAAAGTATAAAATATTTTAAACAAGAAAATATGAGAATTTTCCCACTTTCCATATTAAAAAATTAAATTTAAAATATAAAATATTAATATACATCTATAATCGAATTGGATCCGTTTTGATCAATTTACAGACAACCAAATCACAACTGACCCAATCTCTCAAATTAACATAATACATGAATTGAAACTAACTAAAAATAATTGAAAACTGACCAACTCGAATTGATCGATTTGATCTTTCTTATAAACAGCTTTAAAAAACTCACTCCATTGACGCGAATAGGGATGGTTACTCACCGCGTAAAGTAGAAATAGCCATTCTATTCCTACCCACAAGGCATTGCAACCATCGAATATCTCAATTGTCATAAACAGGACATGTTCCTGATGTACGGCTGTAATATCTTGTTGATACGTGTAGATAGCAGATCCGACTTCCTTTAGTAGTTCATTCCTCCATGAAGTGTGCGAAAAGATTAAATGGATTTTGACTTAAGCAAATATACCTTGTTAAAATATGACGATTGAATGAGGCTCATGACTCGTGTGTATATATATGTATATATATGATTATTTTGTGGTTTATATAATTTGAAAGATAAATGTAATATACTGAAAATCAAATCTTAGTGAGATAGCTAAGTGGTGGGTCCTACACCTTAATCAAAATCAAACGAGATGGATCAAATTAGTTTGGGCTAAGCTAATTTGCGTATAGTTTCTTTTTTGAAAAAAACACTTATACATTATATTCAGGTTGCAGGCATGGCAGACAAGGAAGGTAAGGCTTGGCTAACTCTAGGGCCCACCTTAGGGTAGACTATTTCAATTCTTTTATCACATCATACAAAAAGACATTTCATGAAAGTGACAAGTGGCAATTTCTTTGAAGAGACATTTGTCCTATGCAAAACTACTTCAGACTTTAGGCTTTATGAAAAGGAAAAGCAAATACATGCTCACCGCTCACCGCTCACCAGTCACCATTATATATTTTATATATATATATATATATATATATATATATATATTTAACACTATAAATTCTTGAGGTAGTTAATGGACCAAAATACCCTTAAATAAATGACTTTACCACAATCTTAGTTACTAGTATTATCAATATATACCTTACATAGAGGAAATACACAACTAAGGTGATATATAAGTGGGTCCTTCGATAATGGTTGAAGTGGGTGAACTAAAAATATGTAGAGATATAACATATATAACCCAACGTGCCATTCAGCCATTAAAGAGCTCATAACCTATTTAATGACTTATTCACTAAAAGACAATAAGTCATTCATTGAATTGCAATTTGTTGATTGGTACATTTAAATTAAAAATAAATAATTCAGCAGGTGGCCCTACCTCTACCTGACATGGGGTTGTTCAAACTGGGCTCAACCCTTCTTGTCAAAGACACAGTAGTTGAAATGGTCTCTGGGTGTAACTCCCATAGCAGAGATGAGGGGACAAAACCGGTGGAACTGCAGATTCTCCGACCTCAGTCACTGGTATGGCCAGTGGGCCTCATGTTCAGGTAGAAGAAAACAACCCTTCTTTAATTGAAACAAGTATAATAGCATTTTCTAATAAAATTTGCAATTTTCTTCTTACAACAAGTTAGCAAGTGGGCTTCACTCGAAGCTCATAAGTTTGAATTTTGAAGAGTAATGGGAGCCTTTTTTTTTAATTTTTCTTTTTCTTTGTCCATTTACAAACACACGCGTACAAGGGAGACCAGAGAGAAAGAGAGAGATTGGGCAAGTAATGAGTCATGATTTGATCGAGCAGTCCATCACCATCACTTGGTTATTCTTGAAACGGTATTGGTACACAGGGGAACATCACTAAACACTTTGAGGTTGCGTCTTCAGAAATTGCATTGATGAATCAAGTCTATAATCTTCCACCAAACCTCACTAAACATCGCTATCTCCAATATAATTGAATACACATTGATCATGTTATTAATTTAATTTTATTATTATTTTTTATTGTTTTGACAAGAAAGCCTAGCATCTTATTTATGCAATAATTTTATTCTTGATAGCTGAGGTCGTAGCAAAATGAGTCCACATGTCTCTCTCTACGTCATCCTTATTTCATGTAGTAACTTCCACCTCGAAAGATAGTGGTAGAATTCAAACTTTTAAAGTTGCTTAACGAATTCGGATTTGCTACCAATTATGCTACCCACAAGACACTACAACCGTATATATTGAAAATATTTCAATTGTCATGAATCTGACTCTGCTACCCATAAGACACTACTGCCATATATCGGAGAGATCTCACTTTTCATTCTTCATGGGAGATGTTACCATGATGTGCATCTCTGGTGTCTTGCGGGTAGTGTGGCTAACATCTTTGTGGGTAGCAGAAATGATCTCCATGAGGAGATACTGGTGTGCAGCTGTAGTGCTCTGTGGGTATGTGTAGATAGCATCTTTGTGGACAGCAGATCCGAGGTATTAAATTAACAAAAGGATGGTCTGAAACTGAATCTGACATGCAATATTTCCAAGTGTTTGAAAACTCCTGACTACACTATAGAACAGAATAGATTTGGCCTCTAAAGAGTATAAAGATAATGGTGAAATTGTTGCACTAACAAAGAAAAGTGAAAGAAAACCCAAGAAAAATATGCAACCCCAGAAAGAAAGGACAATGTACCTTTAGTTTACAATCATTGCTTCCATAGAAGGAAGGGTATGGACATTCAGACAAACAGGCAGAAGGATTAAAGAAAATGTAGTGGAAGAAGGAATTGGACTGGGGGGAGAAGGAGATGATGAATCCCTTTGGGAATGGGGATTGTTTATTGTTAGGCTTTAGAATGGGAGAGATTCCAGGGTAAGGTTTTTGCATTCTGGGGATTCATACAATCTTCTCTTTTTTCCCCTTTTGAGGAGCTTTTTTGAGGTTTGGGCTGAGCATGCTGGGAATTGCATCACTTGGGATGTCGCAGAATCATGGGTCGGTTGTGCCACGCCCATCAGTTTCATTGGTTTTCTTAGTGGATTTTGGGTCCCCCCATCTCCTGTCAACTTCCAAAGAAGGAAAAAAGCATCTGGCCTTCAATATTATTCAATAATAGTGAGTGCAATGAATCAATTAACGAATTAGTGCATTTTCTTTGTGGACACTTATTGAACGCATAAATTTCTAACAGTAACCCTTATCGATGCAAGCAATGCAATAGCTCTATCTGTGAGTGTAACCTTACATACACAACTTGATTTTCTAATTTTTCTTTTCAATTTTGGTCTCGAGAAGATGATCTAGGATGATTTTTATTCAAACAAAAAAAAAAAACCTAATCTGAAAGCATGCCTCATTGTCAAGATACTCCATTTAGCTTGTTTTGTGTAGACAAATTGCGGTTTATTGTCAGTAAAGTCCACCTCTGGAAAGCGTTGTGTTTTTAGCTGAGAGAGAGAGAGAGAGAAAAAAAAAGGGAGGCGGTAACGCGGTTGATGGGTTTGTGGACTCTGTTTTCCTCATGGGTCCAAATGGTGGAACAACTGGAGTACAGTTGAACATGTTTTCTCCAAGGAGCGGCTAGCCACCAAAGTGAAGGTGACAGGAGATGAGCCCAATGAAGAACAGGAGAGGCCCACCAGTGACAAAGACAGACTCTGGCCTGCTCTCTTCAAATTTCATGTGTCCATCACTTCCACACTGATGATGATGATGACAATGATGATAGCTTTCATGGCTTCTTTTTATTTTATTTTACTGTTCACTGCATGCCTCCTCCATTTTAAGAAACCTTATCTTCTGTATCCACGCCCAGCTTCATTCTTCTTGTCTGCGCCTTAGAGTACCAGGTCATAGAGTCGACCTCATTTGAAATATTGTGGGGGAGTTGGCAACATTTTTCATTTGGATGGCACTCCCCCTACTAGTTGAGCAAGTGCTTCAGAGCTTTTTGATCATTTGGAGGGAAGCACTGTACACTTTACAACACATGGAGCCTTGCTCGGTTCTTCTAGTCAATTTGAGGATCAATTTTAGTGCCCTGTGACCACATTCTTTTGTCTCTATTCCTTCTTCAAGCAGTTTTACTAGAAAGCTTATTCTCAACAACACCCATTTCTCAACAAAAATTGAGTTTGTTTTTGATCTCTTCTGATCAAGTAAAAGCTGAGTTGGGAATTGCTGTTTCAGTAAAAGTTTCTTTTGGGCCTTCCACTTTTTTTTATTTTTTGCTTAGTGGCAATGATTCAAACTATTGATACCGTATTGTATGATACTGATTTCTGAGGTTACTGATACACAAAATAAGAGGAATTTGAGACAATTATCAACTTTAAACAATAATAATAGATGTACAATAATGGTAATCTAATGGGCATTGACTAAATCTACAGTTATCTAAGAGTATGGATGGTTAAAAGTCCATGATACTGAATTTTTTTTAGTATCAAGCATATCGATACTTTGAACCATGTCCAATATTCAATTCTTTAGATTCATCTTTTGAATCCAAGGATGGAACATGACAATACATAAGTAAACTGTCATTAATTCAGTTACTAAGTTTCATCTCTGAAAAAAACATGTTAGCCATTGCAGTGCTGTTAATATGATCTCACAACCAGGGGTGGAGTGAGGGTACCAGAGGAGTCATGGTCCCCCGTGCCCCAAAATCTCCAGTTATGTTAATGGATGATTAGCCCCATCCATGTTTATTTGCCTCCCTCTACCATGGTTGGCTCCCTTAATGGCTCCACCCCACACCCGCCCGTGTGAATCATGAAAAATGCATAAAGAAGGACAATGGACTAAAGCTAGCTTTCAGGTCACTATTGATGTGGGCTTAATATGATGTAGGATTTTGAAGTAGGGTCCATTATAGGTTGTATGACAGAAGTCTGTAATAGAGCTTTAGGGGTGATTGGGTGAAGACTGAAGAGGTAAAAACTGTGGGTATGGGTCCATTGTTATGGACAGGGCCAGTCGAGGATACATTATTAACAAAATGAACCAAGGGCCCACCACTATGAAGCAAAAGTTTGAACACATGCTAATTGAGCAGTATAATGATACAAGAAACTATGATTAGACGAACCCATCATTACAAAAATAAGTGACTCTTAGGCTCTTAGCCATTGCTATTTTGGTGGACCGTGAAAACTCATCTCACTGGTTTGGAAGCCGGCCCGGCTTTCAAATCATTAATGAATTAAACCAATTTCTTTCTGTCAACGTACGTCTTAGGCGTGCAGTTGAGATTGGTCAAGTTGTCCATCCATGTTTCACTCGACTGACAGAACAGTTGGGTTATCGGGTATAAAAGAGTGGCACCTACCATGGACAACTAGGTTTCAGAAATCCAAACCATTATCCAAATTGGGTAGAAGTTAGAACTATTAAATAACTAAATTCAAACAAAATGAACTTGTGTAGGGTCGTTTTTTCCTTAAAAGTGAGACAAAAGGTGAGACAGGAAATGCAGAAAAGAAAAATGCCATTCAGATTGGATGGATAGGCAGGCAATGTATCTTAGCTGCTCAAAGGACATACCGTTATCTTGTTCACCAGCTCTGTGCATTTGAGTGGTATCACTGGAGAGGTGGCTGTTAGAAGTGCAGCAGATGACGTCAAGAGTGCCTCATGCTGATGCCAACAAGAATAAGAAACGGATAAAAGAAATGAAAGTGGAGAAATACGAGGAAAGTGGGAAACCCAAACTTGATAAAAAAGCTAAAAAAAAGAAGTATACTTTTAGAAGAAAGAATTGGACAATTCCAAATGAATACTGTATCATACCTTTGATACAACTAATACTTTGTTAATAGTAATAATGAGGAACGCATTGGCTCCTTCCATTTTGCACCATACCGTTCTAGTATGGCATCACTAGAACATCCACAGGGTTATCCAGATGGAACATCCAAGATTTTGATAAATAATTTAACAAGTGATGGCTGTATATACAAGGCACCTCTCGAACTGCAACTTAAATTTGAACTCTACACCAGAGTTCAGACATGTCTCTTGAATTTTGTTATACTTAAGCTACTGGAGCCTGGGAGTAAAAAAACACTGTTCATTTCCTATGATATTAAATGAACTGTAAGCCACACAACCCCCCCCCCCCCTTATTGGAGAAGGGTTTGGCTGAACACGATGACTGTTCAGCTGGCTGTGGAACCAATGATAAAGTTCCACGCCAGTAATAAAATACATGGGGCCAGCACATATCACAGTGGGACCATGAATTTATTACTGGCGTGGAACCTCATCATTGGTTCCACAGCCAGCCGAACAGCCATCGCATTCAGCTAATCTGAATTCCCTGTATTGGCATGTGTCCCACTTTATGACCTCAGCTCAAATGAAGTGAGATGCTGAGAATCCTTTTTCATGTGAAACTTACTTTAGGACCCTTCAATTCAACTAAATGCAGTTGTAACATTCAAGTCAAGTATTTTCTTCCATGAATACTGAAGTATTGAACACAGCACTCTCTAGAGCAGCATTTTCAACCTGTTAATGAACCGTCCTGTTGGACCAGTCACCCTGTCACAATCTCAGTTTCAATCTTTAACCTATTATATTACAGAAATACCATTGACTCAGTCAATGACCTGTAAACCCAGACAGTTGAACCATTGACCTATCTGACCCATTCAACGGGTTTCTGATTATTGTATTATTTAAGTATTTTTGAAAAAAAAAATTATAATGATGACATCATGGGTTGACCAACACCCAGATGGTTGAACAACTGCCCTGTTGACCCAGAGAGAAAAGCGGTCCAACCTCTGGGCCAGGTTTTAAAACACTGATCTCAAGCAACAGAAGACAATAAAGATCACATCTGTTCCTACCAATCATGGAAAATGGAGGACCTTCAGAAAATTCAGAACTCTTATGGCAGTCTGGGCTAGCTTTGGATGGGTAGCTGCATAAATGGAGTTATGATCAGTCTGAGTGGGAAAAGATTTGCAAAAAAATCTGATAATAAGGTCCCCCCCACTTTTCTGCAGAGTCAAGATACAATTTTAGGCCTATTGTTACTCTGCACTACTCCACCCCCTTCATATAGAATAGCATGAAGACTGAGAGACAATCAGGGTATGCTAGTAAACAATTGAAAGGTCAAAGTGGAAAAAAGGAAAAGCAAATCCCTAGAGCCCAAATGAAAAACATGGTCAAAGGTTAAAAAAAGTCTTGTGAAGTCAACAGGATCTGCTATTTTTTATGCTTCAGTAAGAGTGGGTGCTTGTGAGTTCTTCACAAACGCATCTGCCATTGCGTGGAATAGTAGATCAAAGTCTACCTCATAGGCAATAAGAAGGTAGTTCTATTATGATGAGAAAGCATAGAACAATAATTAGAAATTATCAAAAACTAAGATGTTTCCTCAACAATTAGGTTTCTTAGGTCATACATGGGAATTTCTGTCATCAATCACAAAAGCAGAAGAACCTTATGGAGAGACACTCGCATGTGTCATATGTGAAGTGCAACTAAGATCCAGAGTCAATTGATGGGATAGATTAATTTGTACAAATAATCAAAGGGGAAGGATTTATTTGGATGTAGTTACAAATCATGTAGTTTCTGGAGATAAATCCTTTTAACTAAGAAGGAAATCCCGATCTGGTTTCATCTTGATTCTCATGAAGAAAGAAACCACAAGACAGAAATATTAAAATATGCGCCAGTAACTCCACAACCATAAAATAAAGGTAAGACTGGTGCCCTACTAAAACTTAAGTCAGAAGCATTAATATTAATGATAGCGCCCATAGGACCTAGACAATACGGAAATCAAATGGACAGTTTAAAGGACCATTTCATAAGGTGTACTCACCATTATGTCAACTGCAACGTGTCGTCTTATCACTTGTTCACGTTTTTTGTTTCATGGTGCAGTTCGTGCACCATAGATTTTGCCTTCTTTTGGTTTGTTTAAGAACAAGGCAATTGCGTGGGGATGACATACTGGTGATTAAAAAAACAAGATGGTAAGCCAATAAATCAATTCTATTTCTTTGTACTGTTGCCTTTTTTTTCTGGGGCATAATTTGTCAGAAGTGGGGGTGCACATTTAATTAATACATCTCAATTACAAGGCAAAAGAAGAGGAAACATTTAAGGAGAAACTGTGTACCTTCATGAAGAATTATGTAGCAAAAGTAAGCCCTGGAAGAAGTGGACCTATCATAGGAAATGCCATTCTTATCATTGCAACTGATGTTAGTGGCCTAAGATTCTTAATTCTGTATGTCCTTTCAAGCCATGTGGAAGGTTACTGAAACAATCCAGCATCATAACCACTGTAATTATGGGGCTGTTCTCCAATGTGAATTGTTTTCCTTGCTGCAAGTTCAAAAACAAACAAAACCAACTTGTTTGGAAACAAATTGATTCTTAAAACAAAAACACAGAAAACATGTTCTTGGTTATATATGTGTTTTTTTTTACAAAACTTAAGCGGAAAATGTGTTCTTGAAACTTTTGGTTTAAAGAACATGTCTTGAATCTTTTGATCTGGCTATTCAATATCATGTTCCCTAAATTATATAATATCTGTTCTACAAAATTTGGTGCCTTTCACCAAATTGGTGCTATTTATATAAGTCAAATGGTGAGAATGCTTTTCATATTCTTGTTTCCTGTCCTCTTGCTAGTAGCATTTGGGATTGGTTCTTCTACCTATTTGGATGCAGGTGGGACACCCCGATGAGCTTGGAAAGATTGTTTGCGCCATCTACTTGTAGATGGCCAAAGCAAAGAGGAAGAATGATGTGGAGATGCACAAGGGCAGCAGTACTATGGGTACTATGGGAGGAAAGAAATCGGAGATTATTTGAAGACAAGGAAAGATGCAAGGCAGAAATCATAGAAAGTATTATGATGAAGGTGATCTCATGGGTGAAAACACTGAACTTATTTTCAAATTTTACAGTGGATGATATGATTAGGAATTGGAGGCTAGTTGCTTTCTCTTCCTCGGCAAAAAAGAAGATCCTGAAGGAGTGGGTGCCCCCTGAACCAGGCTTTGTCAAATTGAACTTTGATGGCAGCAGTTTCGGAAACCCAGGAAGATCTGGAACCAGAGGGGTTATAAGAAATGAAAGAGGAAATGTGTTGGGCTGTATTCGAGTCCCATTGGAATCGGAAATTCCATTACAGCTGAACTGAAGGCAATGGTATATGGGATACAAAAAGCTAAGGAGATGGGGGCGGAAAGGTTGGTTGTGGAAGGGGATTCCAAAGTTATCATCAATTGGCTAAAACAAAATAACAGTACACCCTGGATATTCAGAAATGGCATCAAGAAGATTAAAAGTCTATCCAAGGACATGCAGCTTTCAATTCAGTGGACCCATAGAGCAGCAAATGGTCTTGCAGACCAGCTAGCCAAACAAGGGGTGAACAGGGATCAATGTTTCTGGGCTCAACTGTAAGAGTGAAAAGTAAATTTACTAGTGGATGCACTGTAGTGGGGTAGCAGAGGCTACTCATAAACTATAACCCCTGTAATTTCTTTTTACTTATAAAAAAACGTAATGTTTTTTGAAACAAAACCAACTCGTTTTACTTTTCAAAACAAAAAACATAGTTCAGTTCTGTTTTTTTCTTGATGTGGCAATTTCAAAAACAAATGAAAACAAAATTGTTCATGTTGTAAAACACCCTTTATATTACCTAATAAAAAAGTTGTTCAACATTGTCAGAGTTCCATAGACAACTGCAGGAAAAAAAATATAAGAACTCAATAATTGTTCAAAGAAAATAACATACATTACCATTTACCAGAATCCAGAACTAGGCATCTATAGCCCTAGATATTTTATAACTCAGATCGGATAAGACAGACAGACTGAATGCCCAGGGAGCTGTCAGCTGACCACTAACTCAGATTGGATAAGGCAGTCAAACTGAATGCCCAGGGATCTGACCACTAAAGGATGTCACTTTGATAAACTACTCAGACATACATCAATCAATATCCAGGACCAGAATTGGGTAATGGCCCTTCGTAGCAGCAAACCAACCAGCAGAATAAAGAAAGAAGAGAAGAGAAAGTAGAGACGGAAGATAGAAAAGAGATTGGGCAAACAAGAATGGGCTATAAAGTGCCCTATTCTCTACTTTTATTACTGAAAAGAAAAACTGGTAAAAGATATAAATACCACTAATACAATACACAGCATATGCATGACCAATAATAAGGACTATTAGGCTTTCCTAGGAATTAAAAAAAATAAATAACAAATAAGGACTATTAGGTGCTCTCTAATACTTCCTCGTCAAGCTGGTGCATGGATATCATGCATACCCAGTTTTCCCTAAATGTCAATTGACTTCTTGAAACTGCCTTAACTAATACATCAGTCAAATGCTCATTGGTCTTTACAAAACTCCACTGGAAGCTAACTTCTCACAAATAAAATGTTGATCCACTTCAATATGCTTAGTCAGGTTATATTGTAAAAGACTATGAATTATATCAATAGACACCTTATTATTACAATATATTCATTGGGTTTTCAATAGAACACCCCAATTCTTGAAGTAAGCTTCTTGCTAGAGACACTTGCAAACTTTCAATATCATATGCCTGTTTCTTGCTTCAACCTATATTGTTAAGGCATTTTTCTCATGTCCAAGAACCCCGGTGATGCAGGAGCCAAAGAGTCAAATTCTCAATTTTCTGGTTATTTATGTATTTCTGTATTTCAGAAAGTAGGGATATTTTGGTAATTTTAATGTGTTCCTGTAAGGTCCAGCCTATAGGTTTGATTTGTCTATCCATAATTAGGGGTGCAAGTTGGACCGGGTTATGTTGAGTTGACGTCAACCCTAACTCAACCCGAGCTGTTGAATGCCCAATCTGAAGTTTTCAGGGTTGGGTTGGATTCAGGTTGGCCCGAATTCTTTACTTTTTCCAAATATTCTTCTTTCCTAGATTCAAGGTTTGAGGTCAATTCAATTTTAGCATTATTACATATAAACGACATAGTTATTGTGATTTAGAAAAAAATTGCCTTTAAAACTTAAAATTGTTTGCATACATATATACACGCATATATGCATAAGTACATAACACACAAATAAATGTTTATATAATATATATACAAACAACTATGAAATTAAGCTGGGTTCATACTCTTCAACCCTAACCCAAACATGAACCTGACCCAACCCAATCTAACTGTTTTGGGTTGGGTTTGGGCTAACCCAGCCCAAGTTGCCGCCCTAGTCATAATTTATCATGTCTAAATTTTCAGTCATTAGTTAAGTGATTTAAGCCCATGTTTGGGAGTGCTTCTAGAACAGGCCTATTGGGCTTTTTGCATTTTAGAAGCCAAAGGTAAGATTGTCATTGGACTATCTAATCTTTTTAGT